CAGACTTTGGACATTTCTAAAATAGGCACATTATCTCTCGTAAGCCAATATAAGGACACCTTGCAGGCTCTACAACATGTCAGGATTAGAATACATTAGACTTTCTTTTTGAAAGTATAATTGTTTTATATAAAATTTCTCTTTAAATATTTCGTTCTCATTCAAGGAAGTTTCCTAACAGAATATTCAACATTTCTTTAAATTAAATAATAGCTACAGTATATCCAAGTTGATGTGACATGTTAGACATGTTACGTGCCTACAGTGCTCTGCAGTTTAGCCTCTAAAATACTAGTCGGTGGTAAGGTTTCTGTAATGCATGGCGTCTCTTTCTGTACTTCAAATACAGGCACATGTTGGGGGGGGGGAGTTCAGAAGTGTACCTTCAAATTGCTGCAACACAATTTGCCCGAACCATCTGAGTGTACACATGGATCAGCAGAGCTATAAAAACAAAAACAGCAGATGGCTGCGCTCGCTGATTACCAGTTAGTGCATTAGCATTATGAAGATGCCAGATGTAATCATGACCCGTTACATATCACATGTTGTTCCTCTGAAGAAATATCTTTGCACAAATCAACACGCCACGTTTCTATAGCTACGTTTTTGATAAGGTGCGCGTCAGGCAGCAGCACAGGCTAATTAAATTTGCTCAGAACTGAATATGTCTGTGACTGATTGGCCTGTCACCAGTTATAGCCGATCAGCTGAAACAGGTTTGTCTGGCCTATCGGTAAGTGGATTTCTAATTTTTTACTTGTAGTAGTAATAATAACAATAATAATAATCCTTAATTATACACATACCTACATATTTATAAATCTGTGGGATTGATCAATTTGGCATGTATAAACTTTAGTTTAGGCCCTTTTAAAGGCAAAATAATCTCTGAAGAGCATACCTGTGTCTTTGTGAGCATGGGAAATAGCTGTGTCATATTTTCCACATTAGCCCTCTTCCCCCAGTTAACTGTACCATTAAAGACCTGTACACACCAGCAGCCAGGAAACACACTGCGCTGCAACATCTGGCTCCAGCGTTTGTGTGTATCAGTTTCTCACGAGGAACACAAAAGCCTCAAAGTTGATGCAGTATTGATACGGAAACGAGGACTTTTAGGTCCATTTCAGAATTTCTTGTGTGCGTGCCTGTGAGTGTGTTGTTGCTGCTCATAGTTCTCATGGAAACCTATTATTTATGTAGCAGGCATGCTGCTTTAGACATGCTAGCTGTCTAAGATTTATATTTGCTGTCCACACATATTTCAGTGAGTAGACACACACATTTATTTAGGCTGCCCGCTGTAAAATGCCAGTATTCACCAGCAGAATCGTGTACATACCGAAGCACCCATAACTATGCTTTAAAGCCAAAATGCCTCTAATGACCAGCCATCATCACACCGGGCGATACCTAATAGTCTCAGAGGGAGGTTTGAGGAGAGGAGAGGTAGTCTGTGCCTCCTCTCCATCTTCCTCTGGAAGCGAAGGTCACATCCATCATTGCGAACATGTTGAAAGTCTTTCCTTACGCAAAGATGGGTAAAATATACAGAGCTGGTTTTCTCCTTCACCACAGCCCACTTAATGGAGATTCTATTGAAATCGAGCATTTGAAGTGTGAAGTATTTTTGGTGCATGTTGAAAGAAGCCACGTGTGGTTTTATTGAAATATTGTGCATCTCGTGAGGAATAGTTTTTGCACGCAGGTCACAGTGTTTCCTGCTGTTGGAGGATTCTTTCATGTTGGACAAACACTCCAGAAGTCAGTTTGAGAGCTGTTAAGCTCAATTTTGCTCTCAGGGATTCATGCAGCAGTGCCCTTAGAGATTGTTCCAACTGTTTTCTATATGTTTTAGGTAAACAGCGACAATAATAGCCAGTTATAGCTGCTAGTTTCTTCACTGTACCTGCTTAAAGGAAAGCTCTTCGGGGTCTTTGCATCTTATTACGGCATGGCCTATAGTCATGTATATTTACCATTTTCTTTGCTCGATATACAGTAACTACACTATAATGCCTTTTAAGTAAGGTTCTGTTTAACACAGGAGCTGTGCAGGATGTCTTTGGCATTTAAGTGTTTCAAGCCTGAGAGCACTGTTGCTAAGTGATGGACATGAATTGGAAATATCCCTCCTCCCTTTTGCAGGCAGCAAATTATTTTTGTTCACTGGATTTCTGAATTAAGTTTAGAAAGAAAAGAGCAAAACCCACTGAAACTTTAAGTTATTTAAAGTGGACCTATAATGTTGGATTCCAGCTCCATGTTTTTATTCTTGGACACAAGAGTAGGTTTGATTAAAAATGACCCTTAGTTGTCCTAGCTGTTTTAGCTCCTCCCCCTTTGCCTGTTTCTCTGCAAACACTCTTGTGATTGGCTGTCCCTCACAAGTAGAAGGTTTGAGCAGCAGGTGGATGGAGCTTCCGTGCTCACAGCCAGAGCTGTGAACCTATGATAGAGACTGACCAATGTAGGCTTTTAAAAAACAACAATGATATTTCGTAATTAAAGTACTAATAAAAACCAATATCTTTCCTGACATTTTTTTTCTCAGACTCATATCGAAACATTTTTTTAACAGTTTTTTTTTATGTACTTCTATATCAGTCCTTGTTAGGATGATATCACAGTGCAGTTTTTTAAAAAGACTTCATTAATCTTAATAATCTTCACTTTCACAGCAAATCGCGGATTCTTCATTTGCGCTCAGCCCGACTCTATCAGCTGCTTGTTGTGTTTGTGGTTTTCCAAACACGAGTAACGCCAACAGTGAAGTTCCAGAGTGCCCTCTGAAGTTGTACTATGAAGCAAAATGAATGGCTTTGCGAGCTTTGTTGAGCTTAAAGGCAGAGTTTCGTGTGTGTTTTTAACTGTGTAAATCACCATGGCGACCTCTGCTGAACAAACTGGTTAGGCTTGTTCTGAGTTTCACTTTAAAATCGTTCGGTTTTTAAGTACATTACAGTACATTACAGATTCTGTGCTTTACACTTACAAGCTGTTAAACTGTGCCACACTGACTAAATGAAGCGCAAACTGTGCATCACGTTGGTAGGGGAATGTGCATGTGTTCATTTAGCGATGCAGAAAATGTATATAAGTTATAACTAATTTTAATCGGCTGCTAAGTTGCTTTTACACTGCTGGAAATGCAGCTACTAGAACACAGAATGTCTGTTCAGTCAATAAAATTCATTTCACTTTTTGATCTGCCAACAAACTCAAGGGATTTCCACATTTTTGGCAGATAAATGCTGCCCACTGTGGTGACCCCTTTTAAAGGAACTTCATACAAAGTTTTTCGACACGGTGCCAGTTTCTTTGAACTAGCTAATACCAACAGCTGGTCTTTACTAAACCCAATCCTAACTGCTAAGAGAATATTTGTGAGCTTTTGTTGGTTGCTGGAAGCAAACTTAAGCCAGAACTACTAAAATGATAGAGATATAGCACTCAAATAACTCTTAATAGAAGTCTATGGGAGAAACTGTTTCACTGAACATGGTAGCTGTCGTAGCCCTTTTAGCTGAAGAGCTAATCGGCAGCTGAACTGGTAAACAAGCATTATGTGTTTATAGGCCTCTCTGCATTTAATCATTCGTTATTATTCATCTCTGGCTCTCTTCCACAGCGTGTCTTTATCCTGTCTTCTTCCCCTCTTCCACAATCAGTTGTGGCAGATGGCCAACCTTTCCTGAGCCTGGTTCTGGTGGAGGTTTCTTTCTGTTAAAAGGGAGTTTTTCTTTCCCACTGTTACCAAGTGCTTGCATCTGCACCTGGTTTGGGAACAGCACCAAGCAGGACAGACGAGATCTGCAAAGGGTGGTGCGCTCGGCAGAACGCATCATTCAATCAGAGCTCCCTGACCTGCTGTCCATCTACACCAAGCGGTGCAAGTCCAAAGCTAGGAAGATTATGATGGACCTCTCCCATCCCAACAGTGGACTCTTCTCACTGTTGAGGTCTGGGAAGCGCTTCCGCTCCCTTAAGGCCAAAACAGAGAGAATGAGGAGGAGCTTCTTCCCCCAGGCTATTCGGGGCCTGAACCAGGTGTAGGACTGAACTCTCCCACACACGTCACTATAAGACTGGACTCTCACACACGTCACCACACGCACCACCACACATTTCCTATAATCCTATAATTCCTATAATTTATAATCTTTATGATCTCTTCTGCTATTTGCACATTCTTTACTGTAAATTCCTAAGTTAATTTGTAAATTTTTGTAGTAAATTGTAAATATTGTAAAACTTTTCTTCTGTCATTTAATGGTCGGGCATTGTACAGCTACAAGCATTTCACCCCCATGTCATACTGTGTATGGTTGTGTGTGTGTGACAAATAAAATTTGAATTTGAATTTGAATTTGATTTGCTCATAGGGGGTGATCTGATCTGTTGGAGTGTTCTCTGTATTATTGCAGGGTCTTTACCTTATAATGGAAAGTGCCTTGAAGCAACTGTTGTTGTGATTTGTATAAATAAAGTTGAATTAATTTGAAACATAAATGATAAGGACAAAAACACTGGCTCGCCCGCAGATTACCCCTACAGGCATAGAAACCAATGCCAAGAAGCTCCCAGCATACAGCGTTTGTACTGATGTTAATGCCAGAGGAGGTTTGAAACTCTGTAGTTATAGCAGATAACGATTGTGTTGTTGCTCTGGTTCATGACAGTTTCAGGTGAGTGGTGGCAGATATAAATATATATTGAATTAGCATAACATTGGTCATTTATTAAATCATAAGACTTCGTAACTGTGCCTGGGCACAGCCTGTTCTTTTTCTTTCAACCGCTTTTATTGAATTTGATTGGAGAAGTGAGCAGTGAAAGAGTTAACGATTGTCTGCAGTCTGTTCTCTTTGGCTCTTCTTCTTTCTTCTGAAAAATCTACCGTCTAAGCTCTTTTTCTCCTCTCTTCATCTCTTTGTTGTGAGAAAGTGTTTGTGCTGCCAAAGAGCTCGCTGAACTCCCCCTGTTCCTCTCTGCAGGTGATCCAGGCGGTGTTTTTCGGATTGTGTGTCCTGATCGATGTGTCCAGTCTGCTGACTAAGGGAGGCGACAGCAGGGAGCAGGAGCGGCAGCTGAGAAAGCTGATTGGCCTGCGAGACTGGATGATGGCCGTCCTGGCCTTCCCTGTCGGAGCGGTGAGAGGATTAATGCACATAGGCAAGCACGTACACAGGCAAACACACAATAGCCCGGGAATGGATGGGCTTGCCTTGCAGGAACTGAAGGCCGGAGTAATCCATTTTTAGTATAATCAACTCTCCGCCATGCTCCCCTTTTCTTAACGCCTCTCTTGCCCTTATTTTTCTTCCACTCCTGAGGGTGGTGGCAGTGTCCTACCAACCTGTAATCATGGAAATTGTTAATGTCAACCGCATAAAAATTGTCTGACATTTTCAGTCTCACCTCATGGGGTGATTAATGTCTGGGAATGATGCTTTAAATTGAGCTTTTTTTCTGATTTGGCGCATGGTTGGGTTAGCCCGAGAGCCTTTGACCTTGATGGTTCACATAACAACAACAATAAACTATTTAAAAACATCAGAACTATAAAATCTCATTACACCAGGTATCTGCAAACGATCACACTGCAAAGCACAAAGGTCTACAGTTTACAATGTGATATCTAAACACTGTCTGGTGCCAACAATTATTGTTTTTAAATTTTTTTATTTAATTTGTTTATTTGTAACCGGGACAATGTTCATTATTAAACATTGCTGTAAATGCCGTAGGCTAATTTTTCATCCATAATCCCTGGCTAGACCTTAAAAGCAACCTAAAAACAAAATAAAATATACAATATCGACATTCTAAAAAGAAATAAAAGGTAAAAAGAGAAAAAAAAGGCAAACGAGAATAAGCCATACTAAAAGGAAACAACTAGGAAATAGGAGAATAAAACCAATTTCCCCCTGAGTGATTTCTTAGTATTTTTAATATTTGTTTTTCATGTTTCAAATCATTAAAAAAATAAATACAAAATGCATTTTTTAAATGATGATTTTATTTATTAAGGGAAAAAAGCTGTGCAAACACACCTGATCCTGTGTAGAAAAACGAATTACACCTGGGATAAAACTAACGCCGTATTTCACAGAAAAAATATCGTACTGATAGTCGGTGATTATAGTGTTGTTGTCTGAGGCTGCTTTGCTACCAGAAAAATCCTGAAGGAGAATGTCCAGCCATCAGTTCATGCCTGAGGCTCGAGCTCAGTTGGGTTGTGCAGCACAACAATGACCTGAAAAAACACCAGCACGTCCACTTGTGAATGGTTCGATAAAAGAAGGTTTTGGAGTGGCCTAGTTAAAGTATTAATTTAAATTATCTTAAATGGCATGATTGAAAACCCCCCAATGTGGCTGAATTAAAAGAATTCTGCAAAGAACAGGGGGCTGATATCAGTCCACAGCAATGCGAAAGACTCATTTTCAGTTATCACAAATGCTTGATTGCAGTTCTTGCTACCAAAGCTGGCACGATCACTTATTAGGTTTAGAGGGGAATTATTTTTTCACTCAGAGTCAGGCAGGTTTAGATGGCTTTTTTCTATTAATAAATAAAATCATCTCTTAAAAAGCTCATTTTTGCTCTGCCGCAACTATGGATGGTCAGCGTGTTAGTAGGGAAACATGAGATGAAAAGGGTCCCGGCTGGTTAGCAGCAACTTAAAAGTAAAAGTGAAAGAAGATCAACAGCTGTGATTGCTCACTCAGTTAGATGGAAAAAAATGCTGAAAAGAGTCACCAGATATACTTTGGCTACATTCACATACCTGGGTGAACTCCTTTTGTGAGAGTTTGTGTAAAGAGAAAGAACATAGATTAACTGGATGTGAAAATTTACTGAGGTTAAAAAAATGGGTGTAATGGTATGATGTGCTTCATCTTTTTCAATCCTGCTGTGAATGAACAGAACAGAGAAAGCACTGACGAGTCATCCAGACAGCCAGACTTTGACCTCTGTCTAATCCATTTTTTTTGCAAGGCTGGCAGTCTTTTGCTTAACACACACACTTTTATTCAAGATTTTACTAGGCAACGTGCCCCACAGCTGGCATACTGGAGAACTTGTGTGGCTACCTGACTATTACTGTGTCCTGGCCGTTAGATCACTGGCACAAGATCATAAATATTCATGCTATAGACTACCAGACACTAGTGAAACACAGTTGATCTCTAAACCTAAATAACCCAATAGTTCCTGGCTCTATTGGCACACACACAAACACACACACACACACACACACACACACACACACACACACACACACACACACACACACCTGTAGAAGCTGTTAACTGGTGCGTGTGAATTGGCCTCACAGTTTAGGTTACATACAGCACAACAGGTGCAGCTACTACGTTACCACAGGTAATGTCTCAAACTTTGCCCGTCTGGTAAAGGAAGTGTGTGCATTCCTGCATATGTTGCTATAGCTCTATTTGTGCATTGCATATATGCGTGAGTGTGGAGTGTGCATATATTGCAGGCATTTGCACGCGGTATGGTGTGGTGGAAAATTGTGGGTGCCCCACAGGGGACAAAGTGCATGCATTGTTTCCCGCCACCACTGGCCTGTTGAAACAGAGAACACGCCAGTCACGGTATAAAAAGAGGTTGGTTGGTTCAGATGCCTCGAACTGGAACGCAGATGCCTGTCAGGTAATTCCACCCTCGTCTTACAGAACCTGGACTGGCCTTGATCCAAACCGTGAAGATACATTAGACTGGAAGCTGGTCAGCTTATGGTGGGTTCAGGTCATGTGGGAAATCTGATTGCTGCAATAGCTGCATGTATCATTGGGAAGTTTTTGGTTTACAGAAGGCATGCAGAAGGTATCACAGATGACCCTCATGTGTCTCCCTCCAATGTCCTTCTTTACCCAATGGATAAATGAGGACAGTGTATATGTATCTCTAACAGTAGGTAAAAAGTAGAGTGTAGCCTAATGCATGTGCCAGGGGCCAGGTTTTCACTGCCTAAGAACTAAAAGATGTAAGTAGTCAACATGCATGCACATGTTAAATTATTACATCCACATGTTAAATTAAAAATTAGATAAACAACATCTTAAGCATATTATATTTTAACAGACTGTATCCAAAAGATGGATGCTGTCACCTATTGGTTCCCAGACTCAGTTCCAGACTCCCAGACTGCTGCCATTTTAGTTTTTGAAGCCAGAAAAGATCAAATTGGGTTGAGAGGGTTACAAGCTGAATCATAAACTGTTCAGGTGCAGCACACATATCTGCTAGTTAGTGCTAGCAAGTACTAAATTTTCACTCACCAAAAATACAGCACACAATCCTTCGATAGTCTGTACCTCACAACAAGCAATAATATTTGTTAAAATAATTTAATTTAAAAAAAAAAAACTGTGAAAAACTGTTATTTGAACCAAGAGGTTCATGGTCATTGACTTGCTGTTGCCTCAAGTGGCCATTAGAGGAACTGCATTTGCACATTGATTTCATTTGTTAGTGCTGGAGTTTGCCTCCTGAACGATTCTCTATTGTCTGTTTTTATTAAATTATACTGAGATTTCACTTTCTGCTGACTTTTTTACTCGTGTAGCATGTCACAAACATTGAATTGGCTGTCTCTGTAATGCTTAACTGCATTTTCCAAGGTAAATAGTCCCAGTGGGGTACCGTCAACATATTAAATAACCCCTGATAGAGTGTAATGAAATGTAAGTGGTGGATATGAGGAATGTTTCTCATCACCGACCTGACAACAGAGCAGACGTTGTGTAGGCAGGACTAGTTCAGAAACGTTGTGCTGCATGCTAAAAGTCACTGTTTTTGTCCACTTATCTGGCACTGATGTCTTTTCCATAAGGCGTGTTGCACTTTAGTTGCTAACTTTTTGGGGGGTTTTCTGTGTGCGTGTCTCTCTCTCTCCAGTTTGTGGTGTTTACTTTCTGGAGCCTCTACCTGTATGACAGAGAACTGGTCTACCCCAAATTACTGGACAACTTCATTCCTCAGTGGCTCAACCACGGCATGGTGAGTCGGATTTTCTCTACAGATGTTGTGGTTCAACTGATCATACGACTTACTGAGATCACAACACATAAGGAAGAGCTGTAGAGGTAGATGGTGAAGGAAAGTGATGAGATGCAGTAAATGTATTTAAATTCATTGGATTAATATAAAGCAATCATCAAGGTCTGAAAGAAATGGAAAGAAGGAAATTTTCCTCTTCTTCTCAACTTTAGATAAATAATAATGAACACTGAATGATTAAAGAAACAAAGAATTGCTCAAATTAATAATTAAAAAAAGTCACTGAAGGCAGCTTTTAAATTCTGCTGCTATCTGCTGATATAAGTTAGTTTCACCAGTGTAATACAAGAAGCCATTCCTTTCATCCACACATGAATTGAAGGTAACGTATTTCCATATTTTTCCATGATAAGAATCATTCTCCTGGCCTGGAGTAGTCCAAATTAGAGTTGAGTGCTTCAAATTAACTGTAAAATTATTTGGATACATACCCATAGAAACACATTTTTTCCTTCGTAGCTTCTTCTGTATGAAGGGTATTTCCTCAGTCTTGAGCACATCAACATGCAGTTAGCCAGAGCAGCTTTTCCTCACAAACTTTTTCGACCTGAGTCTGGGATGTTGGGACCAATTATTCAGCTTTTCTGGGATTCAACCATTTGTATTGTAACGGCTTTATCTAACCTCATAATACATCAAAGAAGAACGTGAGGAACATGTAAGTTTAATCTTTCCTTTTTAGGCTTTCAGGTATAGGATTTTCAGATGATAGTGGGAGTTTAGAGTTGGATGAAATAAAAGACCTCAAAATGTGCATTTTAGGAATGTGATTCATTTTGACACAGCGCACCGAGTGAAAGATAATTACCATTCAAACAAAGGTTTCCTGTCTTCTTTACACTTTTGTCAGCACATATTTTGAAACCACCATCTGCCCGCCCTGCTCTGAAATAGGTGTTTTCCCTTGTGAGGGAGAAGTGAGAAATGAGAAGGGTATCCCCAATATGCTGATAGGCTTTATATAACTTTAATGGAAGGTTTGGTACTGATGCATACTCAGTATTCACCCAAGCTGGTGATACATCTGTTGAGCAGAAAAGATTGTGGAACATATCTGAGCAGACCAGTAAAACCATATCATGTTTGGGAACTAGAGTCCTCCCCTTTTCTAGAGCTGAAATAATAGCCTAAAGCTTAGCCATTAGCATCCTGGAGCCAGAATTAACCATGAGCATCAGCGAGTGGTAGAAGCCTGATCAGCAAGCTGTGTGTATAAACTGTATGGATGCACTGTGTAGACTAACCGTAAACTGCACATCAAAGTTATAACTTCATGAAGGGGTCCAGTTGAGTTATTAGAAGTAGCTGATGCAGCTGGTGAACCACGTCGCTAATAATCCAAACGTTTTAAATGAGTGAGTTGGTGCAACATCTGACCAATCTCTAATGACCAAAACCGTTAAACATGTTTATTTCTGCAGTTACATTAGCTTTTTTAACATGAGTGTCTGTGGGGATTGACATACATTTTTGAGCCAGCCTCTAGTGGTCATTAGAGGAACTGCAGCTTTTGGGACTTAATTTGAACCATTAAGATTTCTATCAGTCTATGTTGTTCATAGAGGTCACTGAAGCCTATGGCAGCTCTCATAGAGTGAAAGGTGGGGTGTACACGTGGTTTGGTGGTCACAGGGCTAACACAGACAGACAGCTACATGCTTACATCCACACATGTGGCTGATTTACATTCACAAATTAACCTAACAAGCTTGTCTTGGGACTGTGGAAGCCTGAGAACCCACACAGACTTCAGGAAAGTGTGTAAACTCCACACCGACAGGCTGTGTCTCTGTCTAGTATTGTGCACTTTTACAAAAAGACATTACAAGTTCTAGACTCATCTAATTTGAAGCTGAGAGGGAGAATTTGTCCCCAAGTTAAGAAAATAAAATGGTTAAAAATGTGATCCCATTTGTCTCAAGTCAGGGCTAAAGAACTTTTAACTAAATTGAGGACCTCTGTGTAGAATAATAGATGTTCAAAGACGTAAAATGTAAAGCAGAGACAGGCAATGTCTAAAAGTTTTTATATTTTTTGCACAGTATCAGGCACTTTGGGTGAGCACATCAAGTGCAGGACTCATACATCTTTCCCCTGGCATGCATTTTCCTCAGGACTGTCATGGGAACCTGGAGGATGTTTGAGAAACCCTCTCCTCAGCCTGCTGTGGAAGAAGTGGCACTAAACAGTTGTATTGATTGATGAATCGCCATATTAGGTTTCTGTATGGCAGGACATGTAAAGCTGGTCCTCCTTGGGTTATTAGTCACGTCAGTGGATCATAACTCCATAAACCTTGATAAATCTTATCAGTGGAGAACACTGGTGCTGGTGAACCTCTAAATTTGAATAGAGCGAGCGGCGGGTCGCTTTGATTTGTCATCTAGAGGAAGCAGGTTTAATCTCATGTTTAGACAACGACCAGCACACCACACCTCCTGGCTGATAGTGCTGTCAGCTGTGTGTGTTGTGAGTGATAATCGGAAAATTTTCCAGAACTCTGTCTGTGATATGCAAAACCTCATCAAACTTCCTGCAGCCAGAAAGTGATCCACAGAGGCGTGTGAGGTGATCGTTCCCGTTAACGCTTGCTGAAATGAAAAAGACAAAGATGGTGTGTGTGTGTGTGTGTGTAGTTTGATGTATCATACTCCAGGAGTTGATGTAATAGAATTGTTGCTATGGTGCCATCGCCAAAGACCAAAACAACCAGAGCACTACCAAAGCCTTTGTGCATGCGTGTCCCTTAGACACAGAAAACGTGAGTCTTTTGTATGTGTGTGTGTGTGTGAGTCCAAGTGTGGTTGTAAATATTTTGCGGTATTCCATGGTATCACTGTTGTTTGTTTATCTGGGCTACCACAGCAACCATATGGCCGTTCCCATTGGAGGAGGGAAGGGTTGAGTGATGTTGACCGAGGGAGAAAGAGGAGACATGATATTGTAATAATGTGTCTGACTCTCACAGCTAGAAGCTAATTGGAAGTTAACAAAAAGAAGATTGCCTGCAGGCTCGTAACTGAACTGTCGTGATTTATCCGCTGTTTGCTAATGCTCATTATGCAATGAGTTTATACACACAGATTGCAGATTGCTTTCTTTTGTCATTTGCAGGCTTGGGTTTGGGATTAAAGTTAAGTATGTTTCCCCTCAGTTGACTGCACAAGGATGGGTGGGGTACAGAAATGAGTAAGAGACTTATTTTGCCCTGTTGTTTGATTCAGATTAACCGTGCTTGGGATGCTTTTGCTAAACTTGCAGTAATAGAATAACTAATTTTCTCTGCTATTTTAGCAGTGCTGTGCAAAGTGGGGTGGATAATTGGCGGCAGTATCAGGGACAGGTTTATCAGCCAGGAGACCACGGTTCATTTCCTGTTTCAAATGTGGTGCTCTTTGTTTCTTTAACTCGTAGATTCATTTTCTTTTCATCTTAGTTTTACTTGGTTCTCATCCCGTGACGGGGCCCTGAGACTGTGGTACGCCACCCTTTTGGACCTTGGTGTTATGCAGCTTGTCCTCCTTTTTACTGTTGCTTTCACTCGTTAGTTCAGTTAAGGCGCAGTTTTTGCAACTTAAATTTTATTTTAATGTCAATCTTGACCCATTTACAAGTGCAGCTCAAACTCTCATTTTTCCATTTTTAAGATGCAAGAAAATAAAAGCAACTGCATGAGAGGGAATCAAAAAAAAAGAAAAAAAAGCCCTCTTGCTTTTAAAAAAAGATTTATCAGCTGACTGATATTATCGCCTGATATTAGCTGTTTGTTGATCTGTCTGTTGATTTCTGTATTTTACACCCTTCGGCCATGCTTAGAGTGTTGACATTGCAACGTTGTATGAAAGTAAAAAAATATCACCCGATATATCAGAATCACTGAATATTAGCATCAGTATCAGTCTTAAGTATGCTACATTAGGTGGGCTCTAATAAATCAGTCCTTTTACTAAAGGGATGTTCATGTATTTTATGTAAAACCAGCATCTTAGATACATTTTTTTAAGCCCTGGACGTGGACTGGCTTGGTTCTGCATTATGTGTAAGAGAAGATAAGAATTAACTTCATATACCAGAGAAGCTGATGAACCATTAACTGCAAGAAAATTAATTTGTTTTATTGTTAATATTCAGTTTAATAAAAGAAAAATTCCTTCTTACTCACCATTTAAAAGAGAGGTTTGTTTCTTTATAATGTTGATAAAGTGAGAGGTATTATTAAAATTACCTTTTTTTTCTCAAGACATTTCAGACATTTCTTTACACTGAAAGTAACAATTCAGAGGTCTTTTTTATAGGTTTTACAGCCTGCTTGACTGTGTCTAGTGTTTTTATTATTGTCTTACTGTGCATTTCTTAACAACAGAAGACAAAGTGAAACAAGCAAAACAACTTTGGAAACTAAATGAAAATAAAATAAGATAAAGATAATTAAGAACTCTTAAAAGATATAAAACTCTAATAAGAAGCGCACACTGTGAAACATGGTAGTCAAGAGTGAAGAGAGAAAGACTTCCAAAGAGCATGCCTGTAAATGACAGCAGCACACAGCAGAGACTCGCACACCGAAGCTGAAAGAAATTCAGGAAATGTGGAGAATATAAGTACAAGGATGGGATCCTGTTCCATCATTGTGCTTAGTGTTGGTGTCTAGGAAAACTACACAAATAACAACAAAAACACTGACCATCATTTATTTATATTTATATCCTTGTATACTTAAAACAGAATTGTCCCAGCCCCACAGAGGGTCAGGCTTCTCCATGGTGGCCAGAGCAGTGTGTTCATAAGTGTAGCAAAACCAGCAGATTGATAGGGTGTGTGTTTTCTTTTTCTGTTAATCTTGCAGTTTATAAAGGCAAACACACACACACACCACAAGGTTTCTCCTAGCAACAGGGGATTATAGCCTCACACTGGGTCTGACACCATTGACTTATGGC